CGCCCGGCAGCCGCCCCTCCCCTGTCACCGCGGCGACGGCCCCCACCCGCACGCCGTCGCCACGGCGCTGCGCTCGGTCGCCATGACGACGACGACGACGGTCGGACCGCCGCCGCTGGGCGCCGACGACTTGGGCGCGGAGTCGGACTCGAAGATGAACGGCGGAAAGTGAGCGAGCGAGACGGTCGCACGTGGGCCCTCCCCTAGGTCGGCTCGGCCTCGAATGAGTACCCGGTGCGGTGTGTGTAAACATCGCCACTGGGGGAACAAAGGTGGCCCTGGCCGTTCGTGCACCGTGCCTGGCTTCATAGGCGCTCGCTCGCAGCACTTGCCCCAGCGGTCTGCCCAGTTGATGTGTGTCTGTGTGGGGAGTGGTGGCGCAGTGGTTAGCACTGCACTACGCTACGATCCCGGCGACGCACAGTGGCGTCTGTCAGAACTGTTCCCGGGCCTCCCCTAGGTCGACTCGGCCCTCAACGAGGATCTGGTGCTGTGTGTAAACATCCAACAGTGGCAGAGGCATGCAACTCGCATGTCGGGTTTACAAATGTGTATGATGATGATGATGATGTTGATGAAGATGATGATGTTGGTGATGATGACGATGATGTTGGTGACGATGATGATGATGTAGATGATGACGATGATGTTGATCACGATGTTGATGATAATGACGACAATGATGACGACGATGATGATGACGATGTTGATGACGATGATGTAGTTGATGTAAATGATGTAGATGATGACGACGACGACGATGTTGATGATGACGAGGATGATGTTGATGATGACGACGTTGATGATAATGACGATAATGATGATGACGATGTTGATGATAATGATGATGACGATGTTGATGATAATGATGATGACGACGATGATGTGTCATGATGATGTTTATGATGATGTTGACTGTTGATGATGTTGACGATGATGTTGATGTGATGTTGACTGTTGATGATGTTGACGATGACAATGATGATGATGACAATGATGATGATGATGATGATGTTGACTGTTGATGATGTTGACGATGACGATGTTGATGACGATGATGTAGATGATGACGACGACGACGATGTTGATGATGATGACGTTGATGACGACGATGAAGTTGATGATGACGATGTTTATGATGATGATGTTTATGATGATGATGTTTATGAGATGATGTTTATGATGATGAGTTATGATGATGTGTTATGATGATGATGTTGATGATTGATGATGTTTATGATGATGATGTTTATGATGATGATGTTTATGATGATGATGTTTATGATGATGATGTTTATGATGATGATGTTTATGATGATGATGTTTATGATGATGATGTTTATGATGATGATGTTGATGATGATGATGTTTATGATGATGAGTTGATGATGATGATGTTGATGATGATGATGTTGATGATGATGATGTTTATGATGATGATGTTTATGATGATGATGTTATATGATGATGTTGATGATGATGATGTTTATGATGATGATGTTTATGATGATGATGTTTAGATGATGATGTTGATGATGATGATGTTTATGATGATGATGTTTATGATGATGATGTTATGATGATGATGTTGATGATGATGATGTTTATGATGTTGATGTTTATGATGATGATGTTTATGATGATGATGTTGATGATGATGTTTATGATGATGATGTTTATGATGATGATGTTTATGATGATGATGTTGATGATGATGATTTTATGATGATGATGTTGATGATGATGTTGATGATGATGATGTTGATGATGATGATGTTATGATGATGATGTTTATGATGATGATGTTATGATGATGATGTTATGATGATGTTTATGATGATGATGTTGATGATGATGATGTTTATGATGATGAGTTGATGATGATGATGTTTATGATGATGATGTTTATGATGATGATGTTTATGATGATGATGTTTATGATGATGATGTTTATGATGATGATGTTTATGATGATGATGTTGATGATGATGATGTTTATGATGATGATGTTTATGATGATGAGGTTTATGATGATGATGTTGATGATGATGATGTTATGATGATGATGTTGATGATGATGATGTTTATGATGATGTTAACGATGTTGATGCCGACGACGATGATGTTGATGACGTTGATGACGATGATGTTGATGATGTTGACGATGTTGATGATGTTGACGATGATGTTGATGATGACGATGTTGATGATGTTGACGATGTTGATGATGTTGACGATGATGTTGATGATGATGTTGACGATGTTGATGATGTTGACGATGTTGATGATGTTGACGATGTTGATGATGTTGACGATGATGTTGATGATGATGTTGACGATGTTGATGATGTTGACGATGATGTTGATGATGATGTTGACTATGTTGATGATGTTGACGATGATGTTGATGATGATGTTGACTATGTTGATGATGTTGACGATGATGTTGATGATGATGTTGACTATGTTGATGATGTTGACGATGATGACGATGATGTTGACGTTGATGTTCGTTCACAGGTCCCACACTTCCTCGGTGTTGGACGGCGCCGTTCTGAGCCGCACGGGCAGCCGCTCGCGCGGCAAGAAACCCAGCGCCGCCTCGTCCGACGACGACTCCCACCCGCAGGCGAGACCATCACCGAGTTACCGTCATCGTCGTCATCGTCATCGTCATCGTCATCATCATCTCATTGTCGTCATCATCATCATCGTCAGTCATCATCGTCATCGTCGTCGTCGTCATCGTCGTCATCATCATCGGCGTCATCGTCATCTTCATCATCATCGTCGTCGTCATCATCGTCATCA